TCCCTGTCTGCTTCTGACTGCTGGATACAACTTCCAAAAGTCAAAGACTTCTAAATTAGTACTAATTCCTGAAATCTCTCCCCTCTTATCCTGGCACAGCCTCAGTTGGAATGACAGACGAGTATACATGAGTAAGAAAACAGAACCCAACACTACAAAATTCAAAGGACAATTTCTTACTTCAGAGACAAATTACTTTCTATTAAACTTCATTTTTAAAGCTCTTTCATGTTTCTTTAAAATAATCAAAATGTTCAGACCAAGATATGTCAAAACGATGAAGGAGTATCTCAAAACCCAGTCTCATGACCCTAACAATAAAGTTAAACGTTAAATCTCTTTTAATGGATCTAGTCAGTGGAAGTACAAGGGAAAAAGGGTTTTTTTCCCGATGTTTTCTCTCCGTTTAGTCATTCCTTCACAAACATTTGAGTGCTTACGATACTCCAAGCAAGGGGAGAGAAAATGATGAGAATATCCCTATCCTTGGATCCCTGGATTTCAGGAGTGATGTATCCCCTCTTTTTTTAAATACCTTTGAAGATTATTTCTTAATTTTCTCTATAACTTCAGTTTCCAAACTTTTCAAAGAAACAAGAAGCTTGGTAAAGCAGAGCGTATGTAATATCTGGCTGCAAGCATGACGTGAATGTTCAGATTATGAACTGTCTTCCTCAGAACAGTGAATCCAGAGGGGGTTGGTGGGATCCAGAGAGAATGTAGGATTAAAACCCACCTTCTTCAGTTGCAGCCTCAGATGTTTCAAATCTCTAAGGTCCACTGTAAATTGGCAACACATGAACAGTTGATCGGCTCAGAAGATAAGCTTCATAAATGTTCCATAGAATTCTAGAACATGCCGAGGGATGATCAGGTTGCAACCACAATCTTGTCCTTAATAACCCAATACCACATGCATTTCCATGTAAGGCGAGAGGAGTAGGTGCCCCAAAGGTTCTGAAAGGCTGTGTGTGACAGCCTCCTTACTGAGTGACATTATTTTGTTGATTATGGACAAAATCTTATCTCTCTTCTTTCCAAATCAGTAGGTCATTATTGTAGAAAGACTTTTGTTGTAGGAAAAAATTCTCTTCTACACACACACACACACACACACACACACACACACACACAGGGTTTGGGACAGACTTCATATCCCTAAAACTAGAGAAAAACATGGCCCTCTAGCAAATCTGAATTTGATGTAATCTCTTACTTTTACTTATGTTAAACCTCATGTTTGTCAAAACTTTGTCAAATCAGCACACTTCTAGCAATAATTCTGGCCCAAAATAAAACCCCTAAGGTAAAACTTAAAAGTTGAGAAATTTCCAGAAAATTATAAGGTAAATTTTACAATAAGATTAATGTTTTTCTTTTTTGTTTTTTGTGAGGAAGATTGGACCTGAGCTAACATCTGCCAATCCTCCTCTTTTTGCTGAGGAAGACTGGCCCTGGGCTAACATCCATGCCCATCTTCCTCTACCTTATATGGGACGCTGCCACAGCATGGCTTGACAAGCGGTGCATTGGTGCGCACCTGGGATCCGAACCGGCAAACCCCGGGCCACCACAGCAGAGCATGTGCACTTAACCACTTGTGCCACCAGGCCGGCCCCTATTTTTTCTAATCCTATATACTACAGGTCATAAAATCTTTTTTTTTTTTTTTCTGGTGAGGAAGATTCGCTCTGAGCTAACATCTGTTGCCAATCTTCCTCTTTTCTTGAGGAAGATTAACCCTGAGCCAACATCTGAGCCAATCTTCCTCTATCCCGTATGCGGGACACTGGCCTCAGCATGGCTTGACGAGTGGTGTAGGTCTGTGCCCAGGATACGAACCCAAGAACCTTGGCTGCTGAAGCAGAGCACTCCAAACTTAACCACTACACCACAGGGTTGGTCCCATAAAATCTATTTTTTAAGTCCCTTTAGGTGTCATCAAACATGTACTATGGTCTTGCAAGGCTTGATCCATCATGCAAGGTCTTCCACATATTTGAAGAAACATCAGAAGGGTCAGCTTTTGTGTAATCTTTAAGCCAGGTTTTAATCAACATATTTTTAAATACTCACCTTCCACGGGATTAGCATGAATGTATAAAAAAATACACAAGCAGAGTAACTCCAAAAATAAATAAAATCAAATGTCATGGGCCAAGTCAAAAAGTGGCCATACCAAAAGTAGTTTATTATTTTTCAAGATGTCTACCTTACAGATAACCTTCAAGGAAGTAGCTTGCAGTAGGCTCATCCCAAAGGAAATGATGCAGTGATTCTATTCACAAGGGTGGGAGTAAAATGCAAACCAATCGTCTGCAAAGACCAATCACAGATACATGGAAACATCGAAATGAGGCTGAAATGGCCATCCTATTGATGCCTATGGTGGCAAAAAAGCAACAGAATGTTTATTCTTTGCTGGTAATATTCAAATGTCAAAGGGAGAGATTTACTTACTCGAGCTCTTTAGGGGATGAAAAGTTATGTGTAAATACCTCTTAGGGTTTTCTGAGGGTCAACAAACTGAAACTTGAGACTATTCCTGGTCTTTGGGCCAGAGGAGCCAACAACTGCTTGGTCTTCAAGGGGAAAAAACAAAAACAACCCCCACAAAACAGATTCTAAAACTTCAGGTTTGGTGAGGAGAGAACTGAGGAGAGAGAAGCAGAGACAGACAAGGACAAATATATAACATGAAGACTGAAACACTACTCGATGAAACAGGATTTCTTTTAGATCCCTTGTTCTCAGAGAACAGAGGGATGGTACTGCCCCCTAGAGGCAGTTTTGGAAATGTGAGGGCTTCTGAGGTGCCAATGATGGGGAGGGCATATTTAACAGGTGGAGCTTGGATGCTACACAAACCCTAGGGACTAAGCTCCTCACCGTTAGGAACCATCCCCCATCAGCACAACTTTCAATTGCCCCACCAAATATTCAGGAAGATGGAAACTCAGTTTAGAATTATCTGAGTCTATACTTTTATTTTATATATAAACACACGGGGAATTTTTAGCCCAGTTTTAATATACATTGGCTTTTTCAGGTATGCAGTTAGAGTATTCTATAAATTGAGGGAAGCCTGTACAGCAAAGTTATTATGAGCAAGGATGCTAGAGCTAGATTGCTTCGATTTGAATCCCAGCCCTGCCGTTCTCAGCTGCATACCCTTGGATAACTCCCTCTTACGTGAAATGGGACTAACAGTGGTGCCCACCTCATAAAGTTGTTAGGTGACTACAGTGCCAGGAACCCGGGAGGCACTTTATGTGTGTAGCTATTACAGACCTCTGTTTTGTGTAGAACTTTATCAAGAACTGGCCACATTTTAGAAAATCATATTGCTGACATCAATTCTGTTCCTGGTCTTGAGTTGCCAACATAGCAGGCCTGCACTGGTCTGCATTCGTAGCTGCCATGTGCGTGGTGATTTTATATATAGATATAAGCATGTGCCTTCTTTCATTATTTCATTATATCTTGTAATATAATCATGCTAGAGTATTTACATATTAAAAAAAATTATTTCATTATGAAATATTTATATTTCACTTAGGACATTAAATTGATGTATGTGTATAGAGTTCAGTTATATTACCTATAAATTTCATTTTGGAACAATAAATGGGGGTGATGCTTTTACATATGAAGGTAGGTTTTATCATCCATGACTTTCATTTGATAACTGTAGTGATGTTATAAAATATTTTTTATAAAAAGGGGTGGGTGTTGAGTTGGGTTTGGTAGGGTTAAAAAAATCACTGTTTTCAAGTATCATGTCAAAAAGTGTCATTCTGCATCTTCATATGTTAACACATGTCCACCATTAAACCTGGATTACTATTGAGACAAGCAGTTTCCATTAATTTCTAAGAAATTAGTATGAAACTATTGTTTATATATCTCAACAGTAGAGATAGATACCAACTTTTTTAGCAGCAATCTATCTCTCAAACACAATTCAGGAGAAAACCCTCAGTAAAAATAAAAATGAAGCTGTGGAGGCTAACTAAAGATAGAGGACTCAGAAACTTCTCTGGCCTTCCCCTAGGGTTTCAGGGAACAGAGTCTGAAAAACACCCAGTGGGTACAGTAATTTAAGTTAGGCACTGCCTATAGTTAAGACTGGCTTCTGAAAATTCATTTTGAGGATGGTCATTTGATCACAAGTGGCATTTTCTCCACAGAAAAGGGGCTAACCTCCAGCTAAGACCTCCAAAGCTGTTTAACTCATTACTCAGCTGAACTACAGCATTAAGAGTCCTCCCCTAAACCCAAGGAGTGAGAGGAAGTGTTGCCACCCCATTTTCTGGGCATAAAGCCAGCTCACACTAACAGTAAAATGGGCCCAGCTGGTGCTCCTCCTTTCCCATAGCCCCCTCCCAGCCGCCAGGGCCCTATTACCAGCCCTCCCCGCCCCCACATTCTGCCCTTACATTGTGTTAAGCACCCAATGAATCACACATTCCAACCCTCTTCTACTCATTTGCCAAACTCCTTTCCATCCCCCATGAAACACCCATATCTTCGCTGTAGTTCCTTAGAGGCTGACAGGAAGACAGCCTGACTGAATTCTGTCACACTAATATGTGAGGGCTGCTGGTTCCCTTAACCCAACTACAGGCATTTTAAACGGAAGATGTGTACTAACTCCAGGGATCTCCAATTCGTTGAATTTCAAGTCAGTTCGGCAAAGTAAACAATTCCAGGGGTGTGGGGGAGAATATTTTTGAGTAGGGGACACCAGCGCTGCCTAGGAATATACCTCAGAAAATTCCCTGAATGTAATTTTACTTTCCATGTGCTTCCTCAATGCCCCTATTTCTAATTCATAAAATCCCAAAATGTTTGGGAGGGTTTATTTTGTTTCTTAATAGCATCCCTGGTGGCAACAGCCACGGTGGTCACTTGTGAATCTGAAAACACCTTGAATGCGCATTTCGTTAGCTTCGTGGGTGACGCAAAACAGAAATATTTCAATTACACGTGACTAGGAGTAAGAAAAATATACAACTATATTTAAAACACTTAAATTAACAAGATAGTACTTTTCCATTCTAACAAAATATCATACATTCAGTTTAAACAAGAGTTAATATCCTGACACACTTTTCCAAAATACCTGATGCTAGTTGAAAATTAGTGACCGTGAGACTTGCCAAGATATTTCTAATTAGCAAAATGTGTAAAATTTTGAAGAACTGTCCGTTCTTCTCTGGAAGATAGACATTGAACAGATCAAAATGCAAACTGATGTATCTCTCATAAACCTAAGTATTGTTGCTTCATTTTTCTGAATGACACTTTGGCTGTCAGCAAATCTTACAAATCTTTCTTTCCCCTTAAAGATAATAATATATAACAATAACAAAGACACCCCTCACAAATAACCATAAACTTCTTGGTGTGTAATAGGCCCTATCTAAACGTGTTCCTGTGTTTCTGTGTTAACTGACCTATACTGAGACTGTTATGCAAAGGGGATGAACCAAGTGTAACAGGTCTATACTTAAACCTTTGCTTTGAAAGAAAATCAGACACTTGCCCCATGTTACTTCAAAGTCAAAGCTGCTACACTTACAAATACGGTATACAGCTTGAAAAATCAAAACAAAAATGTTTTCTCCACTAGCTTTTCAGGTGAAGAAGTTGGACCACAAACCGACACATCTGTGCGACAACGACCACCAATGTTAGTCCCACCCCCAAAACAAACAATGCCCCAGTTCCTTCTAATGACCAAAACATTCCTGGCGAGGCTCCAGTTTACAGAGTGTGTCTCCATGTTCTGACTCTAAGGAAGCAAGAGAAGCAGACTCTATCCATTTCTCTCCTTTTGCCTCCACAAACCAGCATCTAAGATCCTCTGGATTTGTTCCCACCCAAACTTCAAAATTCCAAGAAGGGCAGTATGCAACTTGAAAAAGAATGAAATTGTATAAGGTCGCTACATAATACTGTGGATGAAATCAGAACAGGTTGTCAGCTGGAGAAGAAAGGCACTTGGTAGCAGAGCCAGTGAGGGGTCCGGGAAGGCTGGGGCTCAGTGAGTCAACAGTTTCAGGCGAGTAAACCAGCTGACCAGCAGGGACGGTTCCGTAGACGAGGACTTGGCTGCCGAGGAGACGGATTTCTTTTTGGTCCCTTCCTCCTGGAATGGAATCGTGGCGCTGCTATGGAGATCTGAATTGATGTAGCACCTGCTCCCTCGGATGTAGTCTGCGCCTCGGACCAGCTGCCTCTCCGTTGTGGGTCTTGAGAAACGGTAGGGAGGAGAGGAGCTTTCTTCGATGGTCGGAGGGATCCGTTCATTACTGAAATACCGGCAAAGGGCGTCCTCACCTGTTTTCAGACAAAGCCCACAAGTCCGTTAAAATAACCCATCCACTGCGCGGTGCTGTTCAGCAGGCCTGCAGCCTGCTCAGACCTCTGATGCCCTCTGAAAGGGGGCACCACACCCTGCCCTCCTCCCTGAGATGGGCTACAAGGCCTCGCTGACAGCCAGGCCCACCCCACTGGGTGTTAGAAAGCAGAAATACATCGATGACTGAATAAATAGATGCTATAGTTGTAAGATGGATGACTAATGCAGCTATTTAAAAAAAAACACACACACCCACATATTCCAGATAACAGTCACCTTACATAGTATTACTGAACATCTATTTCTTCCATTTTTCACATTTTTTCCAACTATATAATATGTAACTATAGCAAACTGGAAGATACACAAAAATTCAGAGTGATTATTTCTAGGTTAGGAAAGCAGATTAGAGTTGAGTTTTATTTTCTCATGTTATAGATGTTTTTCAATGTACTTGTTTTGCTTTTGTAATCAAAGGGGGGGGGCTTACTTTCAAAAAGTGCTCATTGTCAAAAAGCCACATATCGTATAAGTGTATCTATATGAAATGTCCAGAATAGGCAAATCCATAGAGACAGAAAGATTAGTGGTTGCAGGGGCCGAAGGAGGAAGGAATGAGCACTGACAGCTAATGGGTCTGGGGTTTCTTTTTGATGTGATAAAATGTTCTGGAATTAGATAGTGGTGATGGATGCACAACTCTATGCATATACCAAAAACTACTAAACTGTACACTTTAAAGGGTGAGGTTTATGGTATGTGAGTTATACCTGAATAAAGCTGTTATTTTTTTTAAGGGCCCATTGTGCAGAGATCTTTCATTCTAAAATGACCATACAAGAAAAACGTGGACAGTGATGTGGGGGTCCAGTACTTTTCCCAGTTCTCGATTTCACACACCCCCACCCCCATCTCTCAAGACAGAAAGGAAATAAAAGGCTACAAGGAGGCTTAAAAGGCTAAGGGAATGGCAATGAAGATATTGATGTTTCTAAATCTAAACAAAGGACAGCCCTGCCACCTGCTGACTGCTCCACAAATTTTCACACGTCAACTAAGGGTATCTTGGACGTTAGAGAGGTGTCTTCTTTCTTTTTCCTATTAGCATAATCCAAGTGGTAAGAGTACTTGGATGACAAAGTTTACCCAGTCCCGGGGAGATGTCAGGGGTTGATTGCTTTGAAGTCGGGCCTCCAGAATTTATTTCTTCTTCCTTGTACTATCTAAGGTCTACTATACTCTAACTTTTCACCTGTTATTTGTTTCGGCACTGCAAAAGCAATCTTATACTGTCCTGCCAGAGTTGATAATCAAATGTAACCTGGCAAAAAATAAGAATATTTATAAACATTTCCCTCAAGACTAGGGTAATAACCACTAACTTTAATTACAGGGTGAATTAAATTTCTTTTCCAACAGTAATTACTCTCAAACACAGGAAGGAATTGGGAGAAAAAAAACTCATGTCTGTTCATCAAAAATCAGACAGACTCCAATAATAATATAGAAAATTTAGGATGAGATTGTTTAACGAATAATGTATCTCTACTTGTTCAGAAATTGGACCATCAGTGTCTACAGCCTTCTTAAAGCACACAATACTGATTAGGAGATTTACGACCACTAGCTAGGACTATATAATTCTGCCATTCTAGAAAGAGGTGGGACCTTAGAGATATTCAGCACTCCTGATTTTATAGACGAGAAGATGGGACTCAGAAAGGCGAAGTCCTCTATCCAGTTATTACAACACATTTAGGAATAGGGCTGCAAGTAAAGCCTGGGTCTTTTGACTCCCTATAAATTTGGTGCTGTTTGCTTAACAGAAACTTACCTTTCCTCCCATGACCTCGAGGTCTGGCAAAAGGGTCTACAATCCCCATCCAGCCCCCATCGGCAGGCATGGACAACGGCCGGGGCTTGCCTTCAGAGGGATGGAAGGAAAGTGACAAGTTGACAGAGTCTCGAGACTTGAGAGAATCTTTCCCGTTATTTATAATTTAGACCCCACCACCACCTCCAAGATCACACTCATTTAAGTAGAAGCAATAACATATTTGAAAATTGGAGAAGTATTTTAAAGCATCGTATTTCCGTAGCAAGCAATTAGGACAGAGGCATGCTGTCCTACACAGCAGAGCAACTCCAAGCTCAAATCCAGGCACGGAAAGTTAAAACTGTAACATGATCTCACCCCGCTGGGCTTTGATGCCAGGCAGAGTAATGACTCAACAAGGCTTTGCTTCAGAGAGATGAAGAAAGGTCTCATACTTAGAATTTCATTGAGGTTTATGTTTTCCTCAGATTACCCTTAAAGTCTGCCAAATTCATCCAACAGTTCCAAATAAGGAAGGGGGTGGGAAGAGAAGAAAAAGCCAATCGCAGAACAAAACAAACGCTCAGAAACGTACCATAAGATGGTGTTTTCTCTCTCATTTTTGTGGGCAGAACGTTGGTTTCCAACGAATACCCAGGCAACTGATCCGAGTCAGCAATGGTAAATCTCCGTCTTCGGCTTTCCTGGTCCAAGAAGGAATTGGGGGACTCTGAACCCTTAGGACCAGGCATTGGTTGTTTACACTTACTGAATCCTCCATAAACAAAACTTCCGTTCTCATCCCTGGAAGATAATGGGCAATAATTAAGTTGCTCTTGAAGATCTTCTCATACTGAAGAAGTAAAGGAGACATGTTGCCTCCTGCACACATAAGAAAATTTAAATCCTCCTTTTCCACTGGAGGAAAAAGCATGATGTTTTCAATCCCAGTTGCCCCTCAAATACATAGAGATCCTATTACATAAGAGTAGATACCATGATCCTATTAAATAAGAGAAAATGAAATTTTTTATCTATGTTTAAATGGTACAAATATACCTTTGAAAAGATAGCTCTGTTTTCCCTGTACATCTGTCCTATAATTGAATCTCCTATTTACTACAGGAATCACAAGTTAAGGTAGGTTCTATCGAACCATTTTTCTCAAGCCAAGAGTAGTGTCTTTACAAAGATCTAGCCAAGAAGACACCTGATGTATAACGGAGTTGTTAGATTTGAAAGTTATGTCGAAATATACAAATGGGCCTTTATAGTACTCAATGGAGAGTATCTATTTTCTGAACTAGGTACAGAAACCAGCCAAAGTTGGATCACTGATTCCAACTTAATTCTACCTAAATGTCCACTCACAATAAAACTTAAAATTAATTTTAGTTGAGTCCAAGTTACTGGTTGGTTAAATGTTTTGCATTTAGTAAATTCCATTAGATAATCACTGCAAAAACTACAGAATCAACTCAGTCCAAAAACAATCTAAAAATCACCCCTGCCTCTTGGTATTTCCTGGAAGCCTGCTGTCTGCATACCCCTTCCCCCCATGAATCTAGCTCCTACATTTTAAGTCTGGCATATAACTTCCCCATTCACAAAGCTTTCATGACTCACAGCTCTTTCTCTGTAACCATTTGCATTTTTGTTCCTCAGAAAATATTCATAGAGATTAGACTGGTGGTTACCAGAGGGGGAGGGGGGAGGAGGGAGGGCGAAAGGGGGAAAAGCGCACATGTGTGTGGTGATGGGTGGTAATTAGTCTTTAGGTGGTGAACATGATGTGGTCTACACAGAAATCAAAATATAATGATGTACACTTGAAATTGATATGTTATAAACCAATGTTACCTCAATAAAAAAAAGAAAATAGCCTTCATTAATGGTGGGTGTGTATGTGTGTGGGTGCACATGTGTCTCCCCCAAGGAGATTAAAAGCCCCAGTTTCCCTTCTCCCTCGCTACGTACAGACTCTTCCTCTTACCACTGCTCCTGTGACCCCTCACTGAGACCCACATGAGAATAATCAGGGTTTGTGAGGTTGGGAGGGTCCTCCCTACAATGTCTGATAGAATAATCCACACACTGGTCATCAGTGAAACTCATGTTCTTTATGTTTTAGAGGCAACGACTCCCTGCAGCTTTAGACACACCATCCCATGGCCACATGACTCTGGTCTGTGAATACAGAGAAGAGTCTTGTCTACCAACCAGAATGCCTCTGATCACCTAAGGTAACTGCTCTACAGGCTGTAATAAGTTCTGGGCAAACCAAGACTCAAGGAAGAGGAAAATGACTTTACTTCACCTTTCTGCCCAGGGAAGAAACACAACAGAAGCAAACAGCTCAGCTTAAAACAAAAACAACTCCAAAGTAAAACCACTGTTAAGTTCAGCTCATGAACTTGTCTTATGAAATGTTATAACATAATTACGTATTTCTCAGTTTATTCTTGAACAGTTGACTAAGAAATTGGCAGTTCTCTGCGGGCACGAAACACATCTGTTTTATGTAAGATGGTAACTCAGGCCAGAAGCTCAGTAAGTATGTTGAATAAATGAGCCAGATTCTCTAGTTTTACCAGCATATGTAAATATGTAAGATGATATAAATAAGCCTTTATTTCATACCTAAATCATCCCCTATATAGCATGTAGTATGACCATGCTCATTGTACCATATTACATTTAAGAGAGCCATTAAGAAAGCAACAATCTTTAAGAATTTATAATAGACACACACACACACATAAGCATACATGCACGTGCACATACAGTGTCCACACCTACATTGGCGTGGTTTTTTCTAAGTCCTACGAAGAACACATCTCTTTCAGCAAAATAAAGCTGTAACTTTAATTAACCTCACAGAAATATTTATTATCTTCCTCCCCAGAGATGAATTTGCCACACAGTTAATGAAACTTCAGCTTCAGGGACCCTCAAACAGCCCTTTCTGAGGCCCTGGGAAGAGCCAAAACAATGTGTTCCCAGAGCACATACTTTTCCAAAGAGCCTGCTTCCCGCCAAACTGTATAGCTTCAGGACCCATAAAACCTGAATCTGTCCCTACACTTCCTCCTAAAGGATCACAGTTCCCGATCCCTCCAGTTTTTTTGTTTTTTTGTTTTTTTTTGGTGAGGAAGATTCACCCTGAGCTGACATCTGTTGCCAGTCTTCCTCTCTTTCGTATGTGGGTCACCGCCACAGCATGGCTGACAAGCAGTGTAGGTCTGCACCAGGGATCCAAACCCATGAACCCAGGCTGCTGAAGCAGAGCGAACCAAATTCAACCACTACACCATGGGGCCAGTCCCTGCCCTAGTTTTATTGAGATATAATTAACATAACATTGTATTAGTTTCAGGTGTACAACATAATGATTTATGTATGTTCGGTCAGCCCTCTACATCCATTGTACTACGTACGCCATTTTATATAAGGGACCTCAGTGTCTGTGGATTTTGGTATGGAGGGGGTTCCCGGAACCAATCCCCCACAGATACTGAGGGATGACTGTATTGAGAAATGATCACCACAGTAAGTTTAGTTAACATCCATCACCACAGATAGTTACAAATTCTTTCTTCCTTGTGATGAGAACATTTAAGATCTACATTCTTAGCAACTTTTAAAATATACAATACAGTATTGTTAACAAAAATCACCACACTGTACATTACATCCCGAAGAGGAAGTTTGTAACTTTCGACCACCTCATCCATGCCCTCAACCCCCCACCCCCAGGATCACACTTCTTAACAGAAATTTCAAGACTGAGCCCTGTCACACTGGAGTTCAGCACTTCTCCTCTCAAGATCCTCGTGGTCTTCACACCACCACTTAGAATCTCCACACGCAGAAGAAATGCACACCACAGAAACGACACTGACATACCGGGGGGAGTAGGGAACTGCTGGTGGAGGAGGAATATACAGATCCAGGATGGCTGGTTTCTCCTTCTTCAGTGAGGTATCCATAGTGCTTTCAGGGGACTGGGTTGTCGTGGGGGGAGGCGAGGTCTGAAACACGCAAAAGAGCGGAGGTTAAATCAGAGATTACTCTTGGTACACGTCTCCTCCTCCCCAACACCAACACCAGCCCCTGTGTAAACAGAGGTGGAGGTCATTCATGTGGTTACAGCTATTAGCAACACTCAACTTGCATTCTTCTTTGAGACACAGAATTCACTGGGAGTTTTGAAATACTAGATGCACAGTGAGAAGCAGAAGTTCGAGAGCCAGCAGCCTGGCTTAGAATTCCAGCTCTGAGCAAATCACTTAAACACCGTGCCTCAGTTTTCTCCTCTGAAAAACAGCCACACCGACAGTACCTCTCACATAGGGGTACAGCGAGGATTAAATGAGTTAGTTCATACAAATCACTAACAAGGCTGCCATTGACTAGGAGTGTAGGCTCAGGACTCTGTCTGGGTGCAATCCTGGCTATAACTTTTATTACCTGCATATCTCTAGGTAAATCACTCAACTTCTCTGTGCCTCATCTATAAAATGGGAATAAATGGGAACAAGAAAAGTACCCACACAGGGCAGCTGAGAGAATTAAGTGACATAATACACATTACCGGCTTAGCATACTGCTTGTCACAAAGTAAGTGTACAACCTTATGCTGTTTAATTTAGTATTATAGACATATACACAGACCTACAAGTTGATTTTAAAAATTTAAAATCACACACAGCTTCATTTTAATTATTTGTCTCAAAGGACCTGTTTTTTAAAATCTTGTGTAAGAACTTCAATCTTATCTCTTTTACAATCTAACAATGATCAGCATTTTCTGGTTGGTACAGGAACAGCAAGGAAATCTCAGAGCTGACACATGGAGATGTCTGGTGAAGGCCAGTGGGAGGCACGGCACGAGACGGTGCTGGGCCTGGATGGACATAAAAAGGCACCTCAAATACCTATCTAGCCCGGACGGTGATGGAAGACCCCGAAGTCTCCCCGAAGTGAGACTGTGAACCAGATCTAAGGACCAGAAAGACTGGGATAGCCAGAGTGACAGCCCCGTTTTCAGGGGAGACACCAAGGCACAAAGAGACAGGGGCTTCGTCTTCAGTCTCCTGTAACATAATCCCCATATCCTGGACGTTGGCCACTAACGTAGAATCTGTCGACTCTACTCAATACGTAATAGATTAACATCTCAATCTGTCAATCTTGGACGGTGTCTGAAACACAGGCCAGGATCCAGGCCCTCAACAAGTAGAAGCAAAAGCAGACTGGAACATTTCCACAGAACAGGCACTCTCCAAAAACAACAGTGATGACTACTTCGGCATCAATAACCCTCATTTACCAGGATTGTGGCCCAAAAACAGAACGATGAACCCCTTTTCAGTGACAGGACAACACTAATGAAGGTGACAAGAATTAAAGAGGTTCCTTCCCAGGAGAGGGGGTTGCCCAGGCATAACGGGCCCTGAAGAATGAGACACAGAGCAACGCCCAGGCTGGGGGCTGAGAAAGTCTGCAGAGTACTGGTCGACGGGAGTTTACATTCTGAAAATATCCTGATGCATCGTGAGAACACTTGGTAGCTAAGCTATAACACAGCCTCTGCATTTTGATGGAGGTTCTCTCCCTGGGTCAGAAGCAAAGTTCAATGTCTCATCTTTCACCATCACCTCTTCCCCCAAACTGCAGTTGGTGAAACTTGGCAGGAAGGTAGACAAAATAGGAGAGGGGGAACGTGTGTCCCTTCCTAAGTGAATTTCCAGAGGTCAAAGGACTAACTCTAGCCTATTCTTTTTTTTTTTTTTTTTTAAAGATTTTATTTATTTTATTTTTTCCCCCCCAAAGCCCCAGTGGATATTTGTATGTCGTAGCTGCACATCCTTCTAGTTGCTGTATGCGGGACTCGGCCTCAGGATGAACGGAGAAGTGGTGCCTCAATGCGCACCCGGGATCCGAACCCGGGCCACCAGCATCGCAGCGCGCGCACTTAACCACCAAGCCACAGGGCCGGCCCAACTCTAGCCTATTCTTAAAAATAATTTTCACTCACCTTCTGAACACATCCACTTAAGCTTTCCTCTATCACTTCAAACTCAGTGATGCTCAAAAGACTTGTCATCTCTGCCTTCCAGATGGCTGTCTCCTGACTTTCTAATTTCTGTCACTGATATCACAACCATGTTCATGGTCACATTTCACACCTGCCTTGCCTGCCTTCCTCATCCCTTACCCCAAAGACTTTCTAATAGTCAACACTGATAATTAGGAGTGAGGTGTAGAAAGATTAAACACCTTGTCTAAGGTTCCATAGCTAATAAGCGGCAGAGCTGGGATTTGAACTCAAGGGGTTCAACTCCGGAGCCCCCTCCTAACCACTATGCTGTGCTGCTTTGCGAGTCTTTTTAATGCTTCTTCCAACTGGCCTCATGCATTAGTCTTTCACTGGAATCGCCCCGTCACCAGCCTTGCCCAGAACCACATGAACCATCATCTAGATATGCAACACCTCCCACCTGGTGTTTGTTGTGTTTAGATAGCGTCATGGGCTGAAATGTGCCCCCCTCAAAATTCATATATTCAAGTCCTAACCCCCAGGACCTCAGAATGTGACTGTATTTGGAGACAGAGTCTCTCAAGATGTAATTAAGTTAAAAGGAGGTCATTAGGGTGGGCCCTCATCCAATATGACTGATGTCCCTATACGAAGAGGAGATTACGACACAGACACACAGAAGAAAGACCATGTGGAGACACTGGGAAAAGGCAGCTGTCTATAAGCCAAGGAGAGAGGCCTCAGAAGAAGCCACACCTGCTAACACCTTGATCTCAGACTTCTAGCCTCCAGGACTGTGAGAAAATAAACTTGTTTTAGCCACCCAGTCTGTGGAACTTTGGTATGGCAGCCCTAGCAAACTAATGCAGATATTAATGTAAGAAACAACTACCAACATGTTACCTGTAGCATGAAGTCTATGCTCCTTAGTCTGGCACTCTGTGCCATCTCAGCCCACCAGCCCAGCTTTCTGTCCAGCCCTCTGCCCAGGGAATCTGATCTACTCATTCCTACAGTGGGCTGTAGTGCCTACCCAGGGCCCCTCTGCCAGCTAGCAAACCCAGCTGCCATAAGTGTCGGTTGCTGAAAGCTCACAGCTGCCCCCTTCTCCGGAGACTGGCCCTCAGCTGACAGCTGCCTCTCCCGAGTACTGGAGCCCATCCCTGTGTGGTTACACCTGTATAACAGGCCAAGGCTAGACTTTACCTGAGACAGCACCTTGCTGGCTTCCTCTCCTAATTCTGCCTCCCTCCCTCCCTCCCTTACAAGTTTTACCTAAAGCACACGCCTTCAAAAACCACTTTCACAAGAACCCCTGTCACACATTCTGCTTAGGAAATCTTGCCTAAGACACCATCTTTCGCTGATGGCAGCATATCGACGGTGTGTGGGTGTGTGTCTAAAGAAGAGCATTCATCTCCTCCGTGATATGGCCTCCCATCTGCCAAATCCCACCCAGCCTTCCAGACTCCTAAGGGCTCCCACCTCCTCAAGAAGAGGGGCCTTCACCTACCCGGTCCATACCTATCTCCCCTTCTTCAGAACCCAACATGTATCCCGTGCACCAAGCAGCTAGCAGAGCCAGCACGCTGCAGGCGCTCCATCAACTATTGATGATGAACTACGATCTCTACGATGTTAAGTAACACATTCTGAGAATGCCAAAAAAATTTAAAGATGGTACCCCTTATACAGAGTGACGCAAACAGAAGCAGCTAGGGGGTGATGGATATGCTCGGTTATTATTTAAGAAGTGATTTTAATTAAATGCCCCCCCTTGCTCTACTCTCCACAACCTATTATTTACTTTTAACCCTTATTTACCCTCCCCCATTAAGGTACACATGCAGGTGTAGTTCTTTGTATCACGAAGTATCCAAACGGATACCTTGAGACTACTACCGTTCCTTCTATTTGAGGATGTACAATAAAATCACAGTTACTTATAAATTGCAATCTCAGTTTTATAAAAGGGCATTAAAATGTTATTGCTTTTCATTCATAGTTTAAGAAATAAACACTAAGGACCGGCAGCATAACGAGGGGGTTGGCCAGGGAGCATGGTCCACCCAGGCGTAAGCAATAAAGGAGTGTATGTTTGAGAGAATTTAAATAATAAAATTCACTAAAAGTCGGTCTGCTTTGTATTATCACCCAAGACTGCCAATTCTAAACAATGGGGGGATACAGCTCTCCACCGGGTGGATTATTCCCACAGTCCCTACCCCTGCCGTGGCAAACCTCTGCTAAGGACTCAACCCCATGTGGTCGCTCTAAGGTGAGTGTTCAAACTGTACACATTTATCTAAGTGTGCGTTTCAATTGAGAGAGAAGAAAGACCAGAATGAATTTGCTGCAATGATCCTGACAGCCACTAGCCACACGTGGCCAGTGAAACCGAAGAACTGAACGTTTAATTTTAATTATTTAAATATTCACATACAGCTAGTGGCTAACATACTGTTCAGAGCAAATCCAGAATGTATATTTTCATATAAGTAGGATTATCGGATAATTGTGCATACACAAACTCCTGAAATCAATCATCTTCAAATTTTAATCTTTCTTTTTGGAGATAAATCAGATAGTTGACACCATTCACTTGCTGAGGCCACGTGAAGGTTTGCAACCAATAGGAGATACCTGCACAAGAGGCGGCTTCCACCGTAAGTTTTTCAGGGGAGCAGGAGTAAAGTTGAAAGTACCCGTGGGACGCTTCTTAAGCAGTAACACGACTCCTGTAGGATTCTCTCTCAATTTTTTCACCAGATTTTTTAGCTGCCATCCCACCTTCAAAGACAGAAAATGAGGAGAGGAGAGGAGACTCATGGATACTGAAAAGTCAAACCTATGACTTTATCTCAAGGAAATCAGTTGCGAGCAAACAGGTACATACAAATAGGCAGATACAAATATGTGCATCTTAGCACTACTTCAAATTATGGAAAACTAGATATAAATTGCAAATTTTAAAAATGCAAGCAAAATGGCTTTGGATTTAGTTACAGGTTCTAGATGGGAATATTAAGTCTTCAGTTTCAATGAACAAACTCACCACAGTTTGCTGATTCACCTGAATGACTTCATCACCAGCATGAATCTTCTGAGATCTGTCTGCAGGAGACTATTAGAAATAAACAGAGAGATCTGTCTTATTTTTTAAACCTTCCATTTCTTTCTGCTTCTATTTCTTCTTCCTTCTTCTTCTGTAGACAACGAGCAATGGAAATATAACTTTCTCAAGAAATATTACACAGTGTACTTGAGTTCCCTGAAATGACATACTCTGTACAATCTGGCACGAGAATACTTGTGTTATCTATTTTATTAGTGGTCTGTTACAATGGATAATCTGTCAGAACAGTTGGGTTCATCTAATCCATCAGGAAGAATGGGACACACTGTTGACATGACGAGCTGATGAAAGCCATTGGTTCATCTAAAAAATACCTTACATATATCCCTATCCAAATTAACCTTGTAAAAGCTGACCAACTGTTTAACATGCAAAGATCATCACTGTAACTCTGTCATCCCATTTCCTTTTAGGTAATTATTAAAACTAAATCTTATTTTTACTCAACCTTGTCTTCTACATGTTATCACAATGCTATTAAAATAGAAAGATGGTGACAATAGAAAATGTCTTTCTTTAGGGAAAATGAATTTAAATTTTTTTCACTTTCAGGTTGAATTCAAAATGAATGTGTTTTCAGTATGATTAAAAGTCCAGACTTTTTTTTCCCCTAAATAATGCTTTGCTACATATCTGCAAATAGATATACACATATATCCACGTGTGTGTATAGAGATATATAGATGTAATCTATTTGTCAGATGTTTTGCCCATAGTATTCTTGTTCATTTAATCAAACTAGAACTCTTTATGTTTAAGATATCTCATATGAGCAAAAGAGAAGGAAAGAAGAAACCTTGATTTCAAGTTATAATCAAATGTTATCTAGGTCAGAGTATTTTATTTGATAACTTATGTAACTACCTGAATCTTGAAACAATTTACAACTATCCTTAAAAATACAGCACCTTTGAACATGGTGAGGAGGCAGCTATAAAACCCAAGACACACCTGCTGAATTTTCTCCCTCAACTGTTGTGAGAGGTTCAGCAAGAAATGAGAAACGGCATTAAACTGTAGAAACATTCCCTGTGATTTATCTAGGTCCAAAGCAAAGCATAGGTTACTGTGACAGTTATTTTTAAAAACATTTAACCTGTCGCCCTAGCAACCAGCAGTGCCTCACCTCAGAGACTAGCTTCGTGGGTACCACAGGGAGACGGCCTATCTCAAATCTCTTCCTCTTGAGGCACTTAAAGAAAAATGAATGTATCAATGCTCCTTTTTGCCCTGGCATCAGATGCTTAACCCATGTATCTGCTTGGGTTACTGCTTGACCAACTTCAGTAAGTCTGAGCATAATCAGTGGGGTCCAGTTAATCTTCCTGGGCTAGGGAGTCACTTAAGGTAAGCTTCGCTCTATAAAAGATGGCCCCGAGGCCAGGAAGTCCCTGTTTATAGATGTGCTATCTTAAAAAACAAGCCTCAATGACCCGAATTGAGTTCCCTTCCTAAGGATCCTCATGCATTCATTTCTCAAATGTCCTATTAGTGATTAAGAGTTGAGATTGGCAGAATATGTATAGAGAGAGCTTGATACCAAAACTCTCCCTAGGGCAGTAGATCTTGCCTATCTTCACCATGAGCCGGACTCCTGAAAAACGACGCTTGTTCTGGCTTGCTGCAGAAGGGTGATGACCTGAAGAAGAATGCCTCCATTCTTCAGAGGCTAATTTAATTCCCCCTCATCTTGGGGGTGGGGAATAGGAGTATGGATGGGATCCTGTCAAAATTCCTTTCAAGATCTCTAACAACATCAAAAAAGAAGTCAGATAGAGAATCACCGGATACTGTTAGTCTGACCCTGGAATGATCGTGGCTTCTCAGGTAACCTCAAAAAAAAAAATGGACCGGAGACCCGAGATGGCCTGTTGGCACTGCTTCAGCTTCAAGTCCAAGACAGAGGAATCCGGAGACAATTCCCTTGGGAATGTAATGTGTGATTTCCATCCACTACCACCCACCGTACCAGGCTTCCATTAAAACATTATGACTCCAAAGTCATAACAACCTCAAGTGAGAGCTGGAAAGCTGTCCTGGAGCTGGCACTTCCTACTGATGTTTAAGTGTAAAATATCCAGATTAAGCCCTTGAGACGTGGGTTCTTACCCAACTTCCCACCCTCATGTATCAGACATAGCAAGTGAACTCAGTGAACACAAGTTGAATGACTGAAAGAATGAATGACATTTTCAAATGGATTACCAGATGGAATAAGACAAGTTTTCCCTTTTTTGATCTTTAACAAAATGGAAACCAACTCCCTCTGGGATGACTTATGTACAGTCCAGTATGGGAGCACTGAGATTGACTATATCCAGGTAAACCCTGAAGCTCTCACCCAGTCTTATGAGTCTAGAAATTCTAGGAAATTTACCATTGTATTTTCCTATACAATAGAAAATATAGGAAATTTCATTTCATTTGATTCAAAAACAGCTTGTTTAGTCCTTCATTCAACCTCATCCTTAAAACAAAAGGGGGGAGAGTTCCAAGAAGAGAAATCTGTGTGCCTTCTGGTAGTAATATTACAGCGTTCTACACGTTTATCCAAGATTGAAATTGCTTCAAGAAGACCACAGAGAGAGGCTGGAACCACAGAGGGTCTGGTTGTTAAACAATGCAATCACCAAATTGCTAGATGCAAAACTTCAACTCTTTAAAAGCTGAAATGACATTTACCATCCTTCTGAACCCATCCAACCACAAAACAATGTGCTGACTGGGACACAAGTATGTTCTTGACACGGCTCAGCTGAAACAAAAGAAGTCTCTGACAAGGATAAGGGATGAGCCGTGTAATGCGTTATGCGTTTTTTTCTTTTGCACCATCTCCAGCCTAAAAGCAGAACTTCCTGTGCTGTTATTGCCTACTAATGACGTGTATAAAAATTCCTAGTGGTTCGTAGTGTATTTTCTGTAGCTCAACAGAGATGCAGAAAGACACTACCATCTTCCACTCGTTCATCTGCCAGAACCAAACAACTTACTTATAATTCATTGACTGCCTTAAGCAATGCCATTTTTTTCTTACTACAAAAATCAAGTGTGTCACAAACCCTCATCAACGATCATGCCATTTTATTTTATCAAAAGACCTAACAGCTGAAGCTCAAAGTTCGACACATATTTCTGCCAGATTAGAAAAGTAGTTACCAAATGTCCTCTATTTTTAGGAATTATTTCCTCTTGTCTTAGTTGATTAAATAGTAGATTAATACCACATATACATGCTTCTTTTACACAGATCCAGGAAGCTATGTAAACATTTTTAGCTTCATACCAGTGTCATTCAAGAGCTACCCATATTGTAGGTTGCAAAAAGAAAGTATTCAACTGGTTTACTTTTTACAAATTCAAAACGTTTTGAGGGGCTAAAGAAAAATCTTCCAAGTAGCAAAATTTCCAAAAGGAAGATAAGAGTGTACAAAGTCTCTTACAGTAGAAAAAGCCCAGATTTTTCTGTTCAAAGGATTAGGGGGAAAACAACTAAATTTCAGTATCGTGCCAAATATTATGAAATACAATTCTATAAAAAGACTCTGCGTCATGCAAAAATCCCAAAATAGTTGCTTTGGTGACACATACAAATTCCATTAAATAAACAAACAAAAAAATTGTATTTTACACATATGGCTACCATTCCATTCTTCTACCATTAGAAGAACCATTCCAGTTCTTCTAAGAGTGATTCTCAACAACAAAGAGATCATTGTTTTTGTATTTATGGGTTAACACTTCCAGGATGCAAAAGGAATAATTAACACAAGGGTGGGCATAAAAACTGGGCAAGGTGCGCGAACAAGAGCAATAAAGGACAATTTAAATAATAAATTGATAACAGCTGGTGATAAGCAGCATGCTAGCAACAGAAATAAACAAAACAGGCACCCACGCTCTTATTACAGACAATAAAACGGCACACACACATTTAAATCAAAAGTATAGGGACTCTGTCAAATTTGCTTAAATATACAATAGCTTTGACATTTAACAGATCCACACTTACATTTTCTGTGGTTCCAGTAATTACGTGCAATCCATCGTAGGTCGATTTGATGTACATGCCCTAGAGTAAGCCACAAATATATTAACTCATTACTCCAACATTTAGAAATACAGCCGCAAGTGAGATTTAAACTTACAAGACATTAAAGGCAGTCCCTTCAGAACAATAGTCATTTTTAAGCCTCCTGAAACATTGTGAAACAAGATCCAAAGAGCGGTGAAGGGGAACTAAAGAAGTCGAAATACTAGTGAAAGAAATCAGAAATGAGATCTCTTTGATATTATAATTTGCACACCAGGCACACAGAATTTTGCCATCACTCTAGGGACTCAGAAGGCATCTTGTCAGACCTGCTGAATGAATGAGGCATTTCAAACAAGGACTGTTCACTCCTGAGCATCTCTCTGTCTAGTGACACAATACATTCAGTTAAATTTGGTATCAGCAGTCACTGCAGGGTAACGTATTCAAGCCACTAACAGCGAAGACTGTGAAGTAACGACACAGGAAGTAAATTAGAAACAGCATCCCTCAATTTTAAGGGAATCATAAAGATAAATATGCTCCTTCCTAAAAAGCCTGAGAGCTAAACTCAGCGGTGAATGCCGTATCATCGAGGAAACACTTCTGCAGTTTGACACACCAAGCATAAAAAATTTTTATTAAACTTTTATAAGATGGGGAAAGAGAGCAAAAAGTAGATTGGGTAAAGGAGTTGGTCACCCTGGTATCTACGTGGCAATAACACAGAGCCTCCTTAGAAATCATTTGGACCCTGACCTTGCCCTGCTCAGCACCGACCCCATTCTATAATGAGAAACTCACCAAACACCAACACCTTCAAGGTTCTCCCCATTCCTGTGCTTGCCTATTAGTTTCATTCGCAGAGAAATCTCTACATACAATACTCCTCTTTCCAGACCATTGGCTTGTGCGACTTTACCATCGGAAATGACAACTCCATTTCTGCCCACTGGGGGCATTTCTCCACTTCAATACTTGACTGTAAACTCACTTCCAGGAAGTCTTCCTTGTCTAATCTATTATAATCCATCATTTACTTTGAAGCCTGAGCAGTCTCACTATGCATATTTCTTACTTAGAAACCCAGCTACTAAGAATGTGGGTTTGTCGATATTTGGTCTATTTTTGTTTTCCTATCTGAGAAAACAGAATGACTTGATATCTCCACACCCCTACCTACACCCTGGGCACTCCTCCTCGTCCTCATCATCATCTATACCAGCAACAGTAGCTGCAGCCACCAATTACTGCATATGTACTATGCATCCAGCATCCGACACTCAGCATTCATCATCTAATTTAATACTTTCAACAACTCTGTGAAGCAGGTATTATCATGATTAACTTTTGACAGACCAAGAAACTGATATGCAAAGAGGTTGTCACTTGAAAGCTGGGATTTAAGCCCAGCCTCTGACTCAAAGCCTCTAAGCTCATCCATGGGCCTCAGGGTTTCTTCACCTAAATTTCAGCACACTAATGACACCGTATGCATGCTAGGTACTGGGAGAGCTAGGGATCTAGGTAGTGATCTAGGTAGCTGGATATCTACCCGTACGTATTCTCAGGGCCTGTTATTATAGATCACATACATTACTGATGAAATATTTCTGAAGTTGAAGAATCATTTCTTTCATCCAGCCTCTTCTCACACTCATCCGAAGTGCTAATAGAGACTTTCAGAGCTGACGTTGTTTCATACCCTGAGACCATCTCTCCTTTGTAAATGTTTTATATCTCCTTGCATTGCTAAGTTCTAAAAATAAAACTGTTAAGACAATTCCTTCAAGATATGTGCATACAGTTTTAAAATTGTGTTTATTTTTATACTTTGAAAACACAGAACATATCAACAGTTCAAGATGGCAAATTCCTAACTACATGATGGAAGACAGTCTAATTTCATTCTCCTTTTCAGAATGACAGGGAAAGCAATAAGGAATTATTAAAAAAAAAAAAAAAAAACTTTAAAAAATGACAATGTGTCATTATTTGAAAATAAAACAAATGTTGGCAGAATTCTTACCAGGCCCTCCCCAGGTTTAATGTTGGGTAAGTGAACCTCCTCCAGACACGCGCACTGGCTCATAACAGGATCCGTAGTAGATCGCATTGTTTTGTCACAGATGCCATTTAAGACCTTGACCTAGAGTTGGAGAGGCAAATAGTCAGGAAAGGTTCAATCATTAACCAAGTTTATCTCAAGCTGAATTTTAAAGAAATGCACTTCACCTATAATCTTTAGCTCTGGCAGCAATCATTTTGATAATACTGCTCAATGAACGCATAGCATTTGGACTCCGCATTTGCAATCCGAGGGAATGGTGCCACGATCACAGCTTTGTTTAAAAATGCCGCTTTTATATTAACTCATTTACGACCACTGAAGAGCACAGGCTGGGCAGAAACCCCCTTTGGGTAGTTAAGGACAATCATCTATTTCCAGCCATTTGTATGGTTTTTCAGCGATCACTCACATTCTCTGCATACCAAATATTGACAAGGTCAAAAAAATATTTTTTACCTGCACCATGTTTTTATTTTTTAAAGCAGTTTTAGTTTTGCAGAAAAACTGAGCCAAAAGTGCAGAGTTCCTATATACTTCCTCCCCCACCTCAACAGTTTCCAACACAGTTATATTATTATAACATGGTTAATAATAACATGATACTGTTAACACCTTGCACTACATTTGCTACAATTGATGAACCAATGTTGATACATTATTATTAACAAAAGTCAGTAGTTTATGTTAGGACTCACCCTTTGTGGTGTACAGTTCTATGGGTTTTGACAAATGTATAATGACATGCATCCACCATTGTAGTATCACACTGAATAGTTTCACCACCTAAAAGTCCCCTGTGTTACATCTATCCATCTCTCCCCCTGTCCCATTCCCTATGAACTCTTGGCAATCACTGATCTTTTTACTGTCTCCATGGTTTTGCCTTTTCCAGAATGTTAAATAGTTGGAATCATACAGTATGTAGCCTTTTCAGATTGGCTTCTTTCGCTTAGTAATATACATTTAAGGTTCCTCTTTTCATGGCCTGATAGTTCATTTCTTTTTATTGCTGAATAAGATTCCATGGCCTGGACATAACAATTTGTTTATCCAGTCACTACTAAGGACATCTTGGTTGCGTCCCAATTTTGGCAATTATAAATAAAGCTGCTATAACATTCTGTGCAGGTTTTTGTGGATATAAGTTTTTAATTCATCTGGATTTGCTGAATCGTAGGGTAAGAGTATATTTAGTGTTAGTATGTTTAGTTTTGTGTCTTCCAAAGTGGCTGTACCATTTTGCATTCCCATGAGCAATGAGTGAGAGTTTCTATTGCTCCGCATCCTGACCAGCATTTGGTGTTATCATGTTTTGGATTTTGTTATCATGTTATTCTAACAGGTGTACAGTGGTATCTCCTTGTTTTAACTCGCAATTCCCTAATAAAACATGATGTTGAATATCTTTCCATATACTTATTTGCCAGCTGTGTATCTTTTTTGGTGAGGTATCTGTTCAGATCTTTTGTCTGCTTTTTAATTGGTTTGTTTGTTTTCTCATTATTGAGTTTTAAGAGTTCTTTGTATATTTTCGATACAAGTCCTTTATCTGATATGTGTTTTGAAAATAGTTTCTCCCAGTCTGTGACTTGTCTTTTCATTCTCTTAACAGTGCATTTCATGGAGCCGAGTTTTTAATTTTAATGAAGTCTATCTTATCAACTTTTCTTTCATGAATCATGCTTTTATCGCTATACCTAAAAACTCATCGCCAAAGCCAAGGTCACCTAGATTTTCTCCTGTTATCTTCTAGGAGTTTTATAGTTTTGCATTTTACATTTAGGTCTAAGATCTTTTTAGTGACGGCTCATATTCCCTGAACACCGAACACTGACGAGGTAAAATTTTAGAGATGTGAGGATTCCCCTTAAGTGGCCTCCATTTTCACAGTGGTTACCTCTCCCAATCAGATTCATCTAACCTTTCAAAATTAAACAACCAAAGAAATCAGGAAATTCCAAAGAGCGTTTTTTTTTTCCAAGGGGGGACAATCCAAGAAGTGACACTTCTTACATTCCTCTAATTTGTTTAGCCTCTCTATTTATGGAAAATATATTTATAGCAGTTTCACTGCTCAATTCCTCAACATCAGTAGGAGGAAGGCCTTATCAAAAGAGCACAGGCTGGCTTATGTCAAAAGGAGGAAGCGATGATGAATAGTTACAAAATGCTCTTTAAACAGTCACAGTACATCCCCCCTCCATCCTAAGATTTTTGCCAAGAATTTTTTTTTTAATCAAAATGGTCCTAAAGTGAAATTTGCAGATCAGTTTAACCCTGATTAATAGGCCAGCTAACAATTTAAGTATAATCGTAACCTCGTGAAATGTTCAGAGGAAAAAAACACCCCAGCAAAAGAGAGACCCCAATATACCCAATTTAAGCACAGGAATTTTCATGGTAATTGGTCTTATTTTTAAATAACTTTTATTTTTCCCTTTCTACCTAAATTAATAGACTCCTACCCCAAAAGGCAATATTTCAAAGTACATCCTGAAATAATTAACCACACTGCATTGACTTTAATTAATGTGATTCCCACTGTTTTGGGCAAAGGAATTTTACAATAACTTTTAGAATGTGTACTTACTACGGTTAAAACTTTATCCTCCATTTCTGCTACAAGGCAATCCTAAGGAAGGAAAGAAGAAAATGAAAACTTTAAGAGCTAAGAATTTTCAAAAACTGTCGGCTTAGCTCTCTAGATGTTTCCTGGAGCCCAAGATGGTCCCTGACATGCCCCCCACCCTAGAGCCTGAGTAGTCCTGGATGGTCGGGAGGAGAGCCTTGGACTGGAGAAAGAGGGCAGAGTGGGGACGGAGCTGACAATCAATGACTCCTAAGGCTCTGCTCAATCCTGACCTAAGGAGCTTATCATCCAAGGAACCCATTTGACAGGTTATTTAATCCATCAGAAAACCTACAAAAATCATTGAACTGAAATCCACCTACTGTCCAGACTGTGCAGAGAGTAGTAAGTCAGAAGTCAAAGTCCAAGAAACCTGACAATGGCTCCCAAACGTGACCCTGGGCTCAGCCAGCACTGGGCCAACAGGCCAGGACTCTTTAGCTCTGGGCCTGCGTATAAGAACAGCTTTCAAATAAGAGCTTGAGCAAACTTAGCCACAAAAGTTTATTTTAAGCACCACTGAGATTAAATCAGATATTTCAGGCCTTAATAGAGGAAAAAGGTTCAACAAAACATTCATTAACACACTGCCAAAAAAGTGGTCTTGAGGTATGCTATTGATGACATTAAATAAAGGGCTGGAATGCAAAGCTTTATTTACTCAGCTTAAGAACAAAAGACTTGGAACCGTATGAACCAGTTAGCTGCTTATAGGAATCACCATTGTCCTGTCTAAAAGCAGCCAAAGTGAAACCGCCATTGTGAAACTCTCACAGTTAACCTTCCAGAACCTGTCAACAGAGGAGGATTTCAATCCACACGGCAGAGTGCATGAAGAAGAAAAGGGAGACCAACTGGATTCTTCAGAGTTTATTCAGCACCATTAAGTATAATCCCAAAAGGGGACATCCTAAGGAAAACACTAATTATTTTATGTACATGAAGGATATTAATCAACTCTGCTGGGATTGTCAGACAAAGATTTTCATTGCAATCAAAAAGTCATTTTAGGTCATTTTTTACTACATTTTTTACACTGGGAGGCAGGGGTGGAAATGGCTACCAATTGCTACTCCGTGTGGGTTTATAATCAGATTTTGCAGGGTCTTAAAAACTTTTTAAAATTTTCCCTGCTAGGTAAAAATGTGGGAAAAAATAGTTACTCTACTGCTCCCCAAATCTACACTGGCTCCCAGGCAAAGAGAAGCCAAATGAGAAAACACTTTAAAAAAGAAATTTAGAAATGTATTTTTACATGCATGAACCTGATATAAATTCAAACCAAAGGAGAAACTTCTGTAAAATATGGATAACTACAGCTCAAAAATATGCTTTTCCTCCTCCATCTTGTGTATGGAACTAAACCGTCGACTCCCATGATGGCTCATCCCCTATTAACGCCATCTGAAGGATCTGACATTATTAAATAAATGTCAACTTTAGCAAAATAGAATACTCATGTGGTCCTGTGCCAGAAATAAAACTAATAATTTATGTTTATGATTTTTCATTACAAATCCCAAAACGATATGAGTGCCATCACCCTCGTGAGATAATCACCCACAGGCAGAGAGCTCCTCTTCATAAGCCAGGGCCCCAGATTCAAGGTGGATGTTTGACCCCATGGTTTCTGATCCCTGATTCCTTGACAGATCTAAGAAGCCACCAAGAAAATGGGTTCCTTATGGTGATGGAGCCAATGGGCGAGGGGAGCTCTCCTTCCTCCTCGAATTGTTCAAGTCAGCGTGTGAAAGGGCTCACTTTCTACCTTCCGCCACCGTGAACGTGGGTTTCCACACCCATTCCTGCTGGGAGGAAGCAGCTGCAGGCATGACGTCATGATGTTTGGCGTGAAGGCAACAGAATGGAAAAAAAAAGTAGTGGAACCAAGTCACCCCCCCCCCCCGCCCACCATGAGCCAGACAGTGGGGCTGGGCTTCGCCACATTCCCTGGTCACCTGGATCAGCAGACTCAGGCCAGCCTACCTGGCAGAGACCCAGCCAGGGCAGCTAACAGGTGCCCCTTCCCTCTGCGGCTCTCCTTATTCTACCTTCTTACCAACTGAGAAGCCTTGGGCAACCTGTTTAACCTCTCCATGCTGCGTTTCCTTCTCCGTAAAGCGAGGATGCTAAAACCTACCTCAGAGAACTGTTGAGAATCAAATGTGATATCACATATCCAGCATGTAGTTCACACCAGACACACAACCCGTGCTCAATAAACGGCCTCGTGGCTTTCTCCTCCTCCGCTTCCACGGCTATCTTTCTTCCCGTTCAGTTCTCTTGGACTTTACATTGCTTACTCCCCCCATTTCTCTCCACAGTGGAACTCAGCACCTGCCACTGTCACTTCGTCTCTCAGCATCGAGATTCCAGTGTTCGTCTCACCACAACATTAGGAGGACAGACTGAAGATACAGCTCACAATCCCCTCCCACCTCGGTTTCCTTCGCCTGAAATTCTAGCCTGAAAACTGGATGGAAGATCTATCCGAGGACCTGGTGTGGGACTGTAACCGAAGCATGCTTAAAAGCAGGGTGCGGTTTCCTTACAGGGGAAGAAAAAAGGAGCAACTATTTATCCTTCAAATCAGGAGACGGATCATTAGAGGGAAGCACACAGAGAAAGTGACATGAAAGAGGAGGGGGAAATGGCAATATGTGGGATAGGAGAAAAAGGAGGAGCAAATGTCTCTCTTCGCAGACAGAGACACAAAGAATAAAGACGCGTGGAGAACACGTTCCTTCTCACTGGACAGAAAGACACAACTGTTATTCCTTCAGGTCCCCAGTTAAAAGGAACAAATGGAAAAGACAGGTTTCTTCCCAGTGAGTCAATAGATCCTCTGCCAAGAAATTTAGAGGAAAACTGTACTTCACCTAGTCGTAAGGGAGTGTGAAATCTCCCGGCTCATTCGGTCTTATTGGTGCCGTTACTCTGGACACTGAAAAAGACATTCAGCTCATTCATCAACTTTGTTATTTCCAATTTGTGTGCGCGTAAATATTAGCACTTGCCAAAGCACCTGCCTTCTTCAATTACTACAGAAAGCATATGTTCAGCAAGAGCTAAAGATGTTTTTTCAGTCTAAGTTCATAAAATGATATTCCCATATGTATTTATATATCGCCAGTCTTAATCCTTAAAAACTGTTCACATTTAAATAAACCCAAAAATACCAGAATATAAGAGCAACATATTTGTTAATTTCCTCTCCTTAAACAATCAAGTTTCGTTCCAGAAAACCAATACAAGGCAAGATTTTATATTTCCTATTACAGACTACTATTTCTTAGGTGGGCATAGTGCTTTACATATGTTATATCTCATTTAATCTTCCTAACAATCTTCTGAGCTAGATATTACTTTTAAAAGTTTATATTGTCCCCTTATTTTTGATTTTACATGAACACATAAATGTCATCCACATGCTTTTTGTATATTAAAAAAAAGAATTTTTTTTGGCTTGACTCCCATGTTCCCTCCCCACTTCTCTCCCTGTGAAGATAAACTCAATTTTTCTTCCAAATTGCCCACTGTACCTATATATTCCTTTGTATACAGGTTTTTGGATGTATGTGTATATTACAAATACATATATACACATATTTTAAATGTTTTTGGTCACTATTTGTCTTCATATTACACGTTTTCCTCCTTTTTTCTTCCTTTAACTTGTAGAAATCCCACCAAATCATCTGGTGAGGTAAATACCAGTATTCCCATTTTACAGATGAGAAAAATTGAAGTTAATAGTTTTAAGTGACCTGTCCCAGGTCCCAGAGCTAATTAATGGTAGAGGTAGGATTTGAACCTATGGCTGTCTATCTCTGAAACACACGCTCAATGAACACCAAAGGGAAACTAAGAACAAAAAATAAACCACAAAAAAAAAAAAAAACAATACCTCTTGTGTCCCTTAAGTTTGGGTTAAATTTCTCTTAAGACACAACTTCTCATTAGCTTATTTGTCAAAAGCATTATTTCATTCTTTTAAACACACATTTAAAAATCACCATGGGGGCCAGCCCCGTGGCTTAGCGGTTAAGTGCGCGCGCTCCGCTGCTGGCGGCCCTGGTTCGGATCCCGGGCGTGCACCGAGGCACTGCTTCTCCGGCCATGCTGAGGCCGCGTCCCACATACAGCAACTAGAAGGATGTGCAGCTATGACATACAACTATCTACTGGGGCTTTGGGGGGGGGGAAGTAAATAAATAAAATCTTTTAAAAAATATGTTTAAAAATCACCATGAATCATGTGCCAGGTGTCGTGAGGCCCCAGCAAACAGGGGCCAGCGTGATGAGGATGCTCGGTGGGCACCCTTCTCCTGATGTGACCAGATCAGAATCTGTAGCTCCCATGGGGAGACTTTCTTATCATCAGTTCATATCAACACCTCTACGACCACAAGAAAAAACACCACTTGAGACAATGCAATAAGCCCATTCCGTCCAGACAAGCACAGAATCAGACTGGTCGGATTACTCAAATGTCACCTTCTCAATGAGGGCTACTCTAGCCAGTATGTCAATCCCTCCCGTACTCCATTCTCCTTAGACATTTCTCCAACTTCATATAACTTGATGTATAGTTTGCTTATTTATCTTTTAATTTTCTCATTCCCCCAGAGACTGTAAGTTCCATGAGGTCAGGGATTCATTTTATCTGTTTATTCACTCTGGTATTCCCACTGCCTAGGAGAGCAGCAGACACATGGTAAGCGCTCAATAAATATTTATTGAAAGTACCTACAAAGTCAACATCAACTGCTCAGGCAAAGCAGCATCATCCTGTGAAAACAAACACTACCACCTCTGCCTTCGATCACATCACTTTCTCCTCCTCTCCCTACACTACAGCAGGAGCAGCCTGAACCACTCAGTCTAGGACCCTCTAAATAAGACACAGATGCACCTATGAGCAAAACTTTCCCATTTGCTAATTACAACGTTTAACTTTTACACTGTCATTTAATTGATCACAAGTAAATTCTTTTTTTATTTTGTGAGGAAGATCGGCCCTGAGCTAACATCTGCCAATCCTCCTCTTTTCTTTTTTTTTTTTTTTTTTTTTTTTTTTTGCTGAGGAAGACTGGCCCTGGGCTAACATCCATGCCCATCTTCCTCCACTTTATATGGGACGCCGCCACAGCATGGCTTGACAAGCGGTGCGTCAGTGCACGCCCAGGATCCGAACCGGCAAACTCCGGGCCGCCGCAGCCAAGGGCACACACTTAACCACTTGCGCCACCGGACCGGCCCCACAAGCAAATTCTTTTAAAAATCAAAATAGGTGGCAGAATATTGTGGCAAGCGGGAAGCAGAGGAAAAAAAGAAAGTTAAATGTATCAGAGAAATAAATGCCTTTCACCACCAATGCTGGGTGGGACTTGGTGGTATCACAATTGGTATCAGACTCTTTTTGTCAAAATTATTTTACACATCATAAAAAAAGAGCAGAAACTCAGAACCACTTCAGATGCTCCAAGCTCCTTTCTGAGAACACAGCCTCAGAAGCATATAATGACGTCACATGTGCCTTAAGTTCAATGGCTGCTCAGGTCTGGACCTCATACAGCTGTCACGTGCAAAGCCAACTGCACTCTTCATGTTCCAGAAACACACAGAAAGCACACAGCTTGTCAGAACTGCGTCTATTATATGGCATGGTTGGGACCGAGGAAAGGATATTCTTTACTTTTTGCCAAATCAGCAGTGGAATCATAGAATTTTAGAACCAAGTGAGATGGGAAAAAATAACAAGTTCTTTGTTACATTTTATAGCCTCAAATCAATTCAAAAATATTTTACAAGTCTCTGCCACATGCCACGTAATATGACAGGAAATGATCTTAAGAGCCAATGGTCTAATGAGAATTTTTTTTTTTTCCTGAGGAAGATTGGCCCTGGAGCTAACATCTGTTGACAATCCTCCTCTTTTTGCTTGAGAAAGATTGGCCCTGAGCTAACATCTGTGCCAATCTTCCTCTATTTTGGATGTAGGACACCTGTCACAGCATGGCTTGATGAGTGGTGTGTAGGTCTGCATCTGGGATCCAAATCTGTGAACCCCGGGTCGCCAAAGTGGAGCGTGTGAACTTAACCACTACACCACCAGGCCGGCCCCTAATAAGAAATTTTTTTAAAAGTTCAGGTCACAGAAGCCAGTTAAGTTACAGATTGACTGATATAAATCTTCCTGGCCCTTACTAAGATTCTTAGGTCTGGCCAATGAGCTGTGAGTGAAATGGACATGTGTCACTTCCAAACCAGTACATCTGTCAGTGTGAGAATCTCGAAGATTCTCTGTACCTCTGCCATGGGCACAAGCAATGTGAGATACTGGTTGTTCTGCCAAAACTGTTCTGAAGTGAGGAGAATTAAAGCAGACCCCCAGGCTGACCCATTTGGATGTAGATAATCAAGGAACAAACTGCTGAGGTTTGGGGGTAATTTGTTACTGCATCATAACCTAGCACACCCTGACTGGTAAACCTAACCACCAGAGGTCAAACTGAAAAGAAAATTAAGAAGCAGATACAGTGAGGTATTCAAAACAAAGATGATAGTGAAATTTAGTTACTCCAGGATTTCTATTAAAAAAATTAAGTGCTGTAACATTTTGGAAGAAGTATAAGACTCTTAGCTCAACTATTTTAAAACAAAAGAAGGTAATGTTTGATGGAAAGGCCACTGGTCATTTTTCAGAAACCATCTAAACAATACATCTGACTTAAAGCCTTTTATCTCTCCCCAATTCTGATGGAAAAAAAAAAAAATGGAGAGAAAGAGAAAGAATGGTACTTTATACCTACATGTAAATCCCTTGATGAAGAGAGAAAAGGGAGGAAAAAAGCTTAGAAAGTGACAATGATATACTGACCTTCTGGACTGTAGTGGTCAGATCCAAGCAAAGCTGAATGATTTTGTTCTTCGTTACTGAGAAATCAGTGATCCCTGTAAATGGAGCCCTAGAAAGCAACAACAACTCTTTTAGGAAAAAAAAAAAGCATGGGGGGTGGGAGAGGGGAATCCACTGAGATCCCACACTCTATGCTGACAAGCATGGCTACACAACAGGCTAGTCTAAATTATCTGTTGTGTAACTGTTCTCTCTCAGGTAACACACAAAATAGGAATTTGAATAGAAAAGAGACAGAGAACTGCTAGATAAAAACATCAAAAAATGAGCGAAGAGAATTAACATCCCTTCTGAAGTCAACTAACAGCCTTCATACCAACTGAATAATCATTAATGTTTAACTTCAATAAAACACAACTTGAGCACAGTTCCACTCTTCTCTAAGAGGAAGTTAATTTGTTCCTGCTGTTCACCTTTTCAGTAACTTCCAAAGGAACCGTACAATCTACCACTGACCCAGAACTGCTGGAGAGGTCCAGTGGCAAAGATATGAAAGGAGCAATGGTTCATTTTCTTGAGACAAAGCCTAGGCTATTCTATGCATCTCAGACCCTCCTTTTATAGGACAGTAAAGTACACCCACAACTTACCGGTCCAGCCAAGCTAACAAGGCCTTGGCAGCGCCTATGAGCTCCACCACAGAAGTCAGGAACTCATTGGGGGGCTTGTGGGAGGTGTTCCCATCATAAGCTGGACTTTTCCGACGGCTACTTATGTAATTCTGTAGGTTGTGGGAAGACGCTCGCAGTTTCAGAACCAAGTTCTTCATATTATCAGTTTCAAGGCCATAATTCTGTGGAAAACAAAATCAAAGGGAAAAATTCAAAACAATCAGCAATGTCCAAACTCTCAACAGCTCACTGAGGAACTTGAATAACTCCTACAATGGCCACAAAATCCTACATGATTTACCCACAGTGCTGATCTCACTCACTGGGGCCACACCAGCCTTCTCTCTGTTCCTCCCACAGCTTTACTCTTGCCTCAGGGACTTGGTTCTTGCTAGTTCCTCTTCCTGAAATGCTCCTCCCACAAATCTTGGCATGGACAGCTCTTTCTTACCACTTGCTTCCTAGCCCAAATGTCACCTCCTCTTCAAGGCTTCTCAGACGATGTAGAGCAGAGTTTCGCAACCTGGGCCCTACAGACATTTAGAGCCCAAGAATTCTTTGTTTGGGTTGTGGGGGAGGATTCCTGTACATTGCAGATGTTTAGATGGCCTCTGTCATTAGATATCAGTTATGACAACCAAAAATGTCTCTAGACATTGCCAAATACCTCCTGAGGTCACTCTCTAGCACGTCACTTATCTGTCATCTCTCTGAACCACCTTCTTCACTACTGTCTCCCTCACTGGGATGCAAGGTCTGCAACAGCAGAGCTCTTAGTATATTACTCACGACTATATACCCAGCACAGCGGACAATAAAGTAGTCATCCAATGGACGAATTTCCATCAGATGGACTCGCTTACACAGAAACAGAGCAGCACTGACTAAACATCAATTCACCTGATGTAATTTCCGTCTCGTGAGCTTCTAACCTGTGTTCTTTCTTAACAATGTTCAACTTACTTGGGTGCTTTAAAAAAATCAATTTCATGTGACAATATTGCCCTACACCCCCATTCAGATAAAGAACAAATCCCAGGAAGCTACACATAAATCTGAGATGACTGGGGCGCAGGGATGAATTTTTGTTTTCAATTGCATGTAACTCAGTTGGTCTTTCATCATTTTAACAAAAAGCGAAGATATTTCTGGGGTATATTAAACTGTGTCGATTGCATCCCAAAGCGGGAATGGGGTACCATTTAAAAATTGGGAAGAATGCAATGGCAGACATGAAGGAACACTTACTCTATGCCGGGAACCGGACTAGGTGTTTACAAGTTTTATATCAGGTAAACACAGCGTGTGAAGGTGGGAACGATATTATCTCTACTTTACAAGTGAGGAAAATGAGGCACAGAGACTTTAAATAAATTCTCCAAAGTTACACCGCTAATCAGCGGTAGGGGTGGGATTCTAATCGAGGCATCTGCATCGAGGGCACAAGCTTTTGATCACGAGGCTGTATATCCCGCCTTCCACACTCCCTGGCCAAGGAAGGGCAAAGTGATAAGACAGAGAACAGGATAAGTGCTAGAAAGAAGAAAAGTAAAAAGAAAAGTGGCCAGTGATGCTAGATCTAGCAAAACTAACCAGCGGCTTACTTCCCCCAAATTCTATCCCAACCTACTCCATCCCCTCTGAAGTGTTAGACACGTCTTTCAGCTGGTTTCAGCCATCAGGACCTCACTGTTCTGAGAGCAGGGGCACCTCGCTTGTCTCTTAGCCCCCTCCTCTCTTACAGCCCCATCACTAATGTCCCAGGGAAGGATGAGCCATGTCCCAAAATCAAGATATATAAAGCATAAATATACCAGGGAGTTTGTGAGAACTTTTTTTTTTGGCAAGATGAAAAATGGTAAGTAATAACAACAAAACACCTTAATCTTAATGAAAACAATTCTAACTTTAACTAGATTTTATTTGAAGTTTAAATTTATGTTGCTTCCTAGTCAAATAAAAAATATTTTTGAAAAAATTTAGACAGAAATTTTTTAAAAAGTAAGTATAAATATAAAAAAAACTTTCCAGATCTATTAAATGAAAACTGTCTCTTGCAAGCTTTAAAAAACACTAAATTTCATAATAAAAATGAGTGTTCTGTATTAATAGTAATGTTCTATCTAAACTTTATTTTCATTCATTTTTTTCTCGCTCCTTCTCAAGAGACTAAAATATGATATTGTCCTTCAATAGAGAAACAAAAATGGAAAGATGGATTTTCATCATGGCTTTTTAAAGTTAGAGAATCAGACTCAAAATTGAATGGATAAAGAGCCACATGACAGAGCTTGTTTTGAAGGACTGTGATTAAAGAGAAATGTCCCCTTATTCAGTCAATTACCCAGCCTGCCAACTTATATGAAGCGTTTTGAACTAAAAGCAGGAAAGTCAGCTCTCTACAGTCAATGTCACCATAAATTACTTGGAACTTTTATTACTTTACACAACATTTACTTCTTGAACTCAAAGAGGATTAATGCATTTTAGTGTTGCGAGAAGTTTTAAACTTCAATCGTCTACAAACCTACCACTTTTTTTTTTTTTGGTGAGGAAGATTAGCCCTGAGCTAACATCTGATGCCAATCCTCCTCTTTTCACTGAGGAAGATCGGCCCTGAGCTAACATCCATGCCCATCTTCCTCTACTTTATACGGGTCACCGCCACAGCATGGCTTGACAAGCGGTGCGTCAGTGCGCGCCCGGGATCCAAACCCGCGAACCCCAAGGCGCTGAAGCAGAGCACGCGCACTAGACCGCTACGCCACCAGGCCGGCCCCACAAACCCAGCACTTTTAATATTAAAATAAAGGAGGAGTATAGCTCCTTCTTAACTGGTTCTTTTCGTTTCCATTCAATTTGCTGATTCTTTCTTTTATCCCCCCGAAACAAATCATGAGGCTGAAGAGTGGCCAAATGTACTATAATAAAGTATAATTTTAAAAGAAGGAAGGAGCAAAGTAAGGAAGGAAAATTCCTTCCCCATCCACCCCATTCCACAATAAGCAGAGAACAAGAAACTGATTATATTAGCTCAAAAGAACCTCTCCTGTAGAAACATAATCAGGAAAGGATTATTGAATTAAGTGCCCTACAATGAAAGACAGAAAATGAATAATTTCCCAGAGCAGATTTGATTATTTTCACTAACCTTCTTCCCTCAAAATCTGTCTCCTTCAGAAATTGATATAAGATAAGGTATCAAGAAGATACAAACTAGGGAGAAGGTCAAATACCGTATGATTTCCTTCATTAAGTAGTAGATAATAACAACAATAAACAAACATAGGGACAGAGATTGGTGGTTACCAGAGGGGAAGGGGGGAGGGAGGAGGGTGAAAGGGATAATTCGGTACATGTGTGTGGTGATGGGTTGTAATTAGTATTTTGG